TTGTTAGTAATTTTGATAGAATGTTCTAGAAGGAAAAGTAGTGAGAGAGAGGGTGAAGACACTAGTTTCTAGGAATACACAGAATTAGATAGTACAGAATTCAAGAGAAAGCAATTAAGGGTAAAACCAGATATTAGTATGGGAGTGCATGCAGGTATGGTTGAAGTTGGATTTCCAGGTAAAAGTGATTGAAAGAACAATAGAGTTTAGACTGAAAGGAAATATTACTTGAAATGAAATATTAATTGAAATGAAATAAAATTAGAAAAAATATTTACACACAGAAAAAACAAAAAGAGTTATTTCGCCACACTTCCAATATTATTAACAATTCAACTGCCAGAGATAAATACATATGTATATTTTTAAATAGATAAAAAACAAATGTAAATGTTTGTCCGGATGGCAGTAAATAAAACGAATTTGAATTTACTTTGTTTCCTTTCTTCTTGCTTTACAAAATTCGATAAGCTTTTTTTCATCGTCCATATCATCGCCTTCTTCTTCGGCACCTCTTGAAAGAAAATCGAGAGGACCACTCCATGTTTTGGATGTAGGTTGAGGTGTTGGAGGTGGTTGGGACAAGGAAGGACGGTGGCCTCTCAAATAATGCTTTTTCACCATGTCATTAAATTGTTCAGTTAATTTTGAATATCTATATTTAAAGCTTTCAGTTAAAATTTAGTTTGTTTAAAATCGTATGCTACATCAAAGCAATCCTAATGAAACTTATTTCGCCAGAACAAAATTTTTTCAATGGGATGGTAAAATTTATGACACAAAATTGTTCAACTGCTAATCCTAAAAGCGTTATTACTAATCATAAGTAGTTTATACAATATATATAGGTACAAAAAAGCTATAATTACGCCTCATCGATAAAAAACTCTCTAGCCACCAATCCGTCTTTTGTTGAAGGTGGATTCGCCATGTAATTACAAATTCCCAAAGTTTTCATTCCTTTAAGAGAATACGGTCCAATTAAATTAAGTGTTAGATGACAAATATGACAAACGTTTACTATTATTACCTGTACTGTATTGAGTTAGACTGATATATCCCGTTTCCATCCTATCCATTAAATAAAATAGCTGACCTGAAAGTAGAAGTATTACACAAGTAAATGACTTCTTATTTCTTCCATCATATAGATACTCTAGAACACTGATAATGTAAAATATATAAAAGTAATATAAAAATAGGAGATGAAAAACTACAGGTAGTCAATTTTCGTCATTTAGGGTGTCGGATAACCCAGGATCAGTTAGTTAGAGACCTATTAGNGGCAAACCAACAATTTATTTGTCGTTATGGTGGTACAGGTTCTTCGTTCTAATTTTAAAATTACCATTTTTCGTTCAACAACGGCAGCACGTGAAATTAAGTCTAGGTTAATTTAGAAGTTATGTATGAATAACAATGGGATTCTAATAGCGATGACTAAGACTCTCCCTTTTGTAAATGCCCAAGAGCGAGGATGTAAAACAGATCATTACCTACCAATAACAGCAGATGAAACATGAATGAATGAATAAAAACTTCGTGTGAGAAAAACTTCAGGAGCAAATGAGTTTATTTACCGAGAAAGATCAGAGCCAAAATAGGGTTGCAAATAATTTTATTGATGTGAAATCAACATCAATCATTTTATATCAAAATATTACAACCCAATTTTGTTTCCCATCTTTTTTACACATTGCAACAAGAAAAAGAAATGGAATCCCTAGTTTCTTTAGCTTTCGGTTCATCTAATAAGTGAAATTTCTCAAATTATTTTCTACAGCTGTCGCATATTAATTCGATATTGTTTTGCGGGCTGTTTTGTCGTAAAACATAGAATTTCGTGGTTCCTTGTTAAAGGTATGATAAGTGGTAATTTGAAAGGTGCTGATATCAATTTGGAATTTCAAAAATCTATGGATTATGACATTGAACCCGGAAAACAATATTGATCCAACATTTTAGATTATCCATTTCCAAAAAGTTTAGAATTTTTTTGGGCTCTTCAGTTAAAGAAATAGAGGGCATGTCTCTTTGTCCCCTTTTTAAGTTTCTAATACTTTCAATGGCTGATGTGAGTAACTTTCATTCATCATTTTATATAATGTTTGATCGGTGGTACTATCAAAACCTTTGACGCCAAAAATGTATAGTGCATGCACTTTATAAATAGAAAAGGTTTGGAAAAGTATTTTAAATAAAATACAAAATGCTTTTCTCAAAAAAGTATTTAACTGCAAGACAAAAATAGATAATTTTAATTATGTGTTTGTATTTTAAATAAATCACATCTCTAATCGTACCGTCTTGGTTTGCAACTGTTTTATACCGATCGTTATCTGTAATGCAATCACATTTCTGATAAAGTTGTGAATAGTAAGATACAAAATATCTAGAAATTAATATTGCAAAACTTTGCTTTCACCTTAGTACCTACAAAGTAGGTAATTGTTTTCGTGTTTCACCATTTGTCATTAAATTAGTGACCTTTTTATTATGTATGTATAACTATGAGCCTGACATTTCTAATGTGCTTTTTAAAACAGATAAAGTAACTCAAATAGCTACCAGACATTGAAAAAAAATCTAACCTTAGGCATTCTGCTGCTATTTGATTATCCCCTGAATTCCATCAAACCTCATGGTTCTCCATCCTAACACACTGGAGCTCTGAAACAAAAAAGAATAATTTAATTTGATCCAGATTTGTGTTGCATAAATTCTTTCAAGCTACCTAACTTGCATGCAATCTCGTAAAATATTCGGCTACTTAATAACATTTCGTGTCAATGATTACTGTTTTAAAAATTCAACGATCGAAATATTAACATTAAATGGAGGAAAACTGCATTCCTTAATTCTTGTTGAAGGACTCTTCAATTTTAATAATATTACGAGAAATCAACTCCGTTATTGCTTTTGTTTCTATCAGAGCCTCATGGGGGTTGCAAGATTTATTTGTTAATTGCAAAATCGGAAATAACGTTACCCCGCTTTTGATCTGAGAATAAAACGGATGGTCTAAAACGTCTTTAAAGCATAATTCTATTTTTCCAATTACAAAATTATTGTTGTACCTTTTATAGATTTTTGCCCTAATTGTGGCTAGTAATTATTTATTTTAATTCGAAAATTTGATAACTCTACCTAGTCTTATCTTAAGAAATTCGTTAAAATAGTAAATAGTGAATCTAATTTTACTTTATTATTAGATATCAGTTCATCATAAGTATTGTTACTTGCCCATTTTGACTCCTATTAACTTTTTCTGTACTGTTCGACATTGTGAGGGTGTTGGTAAGATCTTTTTTACTAAAGATGGACTTCTTTTTAAAAAAGTAAAAGAATCTGTCTAAAAATTGAGATTAAGGTTTAGTTAAATGGATTGCTTAGCATATTTTCTTTCTACCTGTTTTCTACACCTTCTCATATTTGTTTAGCTTGATGAAACGATAAAAATATTATCAAATACGTTAATTAGCGACATGTATTTTTTAAATGTCAATAAGACAACTTATACTATATATGAAATACTTGACCTATAGTAATTAAACCATAACCCATAAAGTTAAGAATAATAATTCAATTTCAAAAAGAACACCTATGTTTGTAGATAAGATTATAAATACTACGCCCTTTCTATTTTAAAATAAATAACTCAATTTCCGTGTTAATTTATAAAAATTGCGGAAAAAAGAGAACTAGCAGAGCGTGGTTTCGATCCACGGACCTCTGGGTTATGGGCCCAGCACGCTTCCACTGCGCCACTCTGCTCTTGTTGCTGAAGTTCCTTAAGAATGCCATTTAACTGTGTTCTTACATTATACTTTAAATTTT